CGGCTGCAGGACGCGTGCGGTACCGGTCCCGTGCTCGGGGCCCACGCCAGCATCGGCCCCGGGCCCTTTGGCGCCAAAGGGGAGAGGAGCTCATCCCACCGTGTTTCCGCAGGGGAGACGCTGCGCGCTCAGCCGAGGCAGGCAGAAGAGTGGTACACGCTGTGTCCAAGACAAGGATCGTGATTTGTCTGCCTTTGAACACCTTCCCATTGCCACATGTGGCCGAAATAACGCTGCACAAAGCGCCCCAACGTCCCACCCGTTTCTTACGGGCTCTTGCGCATCTTTCTGCTGCCTGCTGTGTGGAGATCCAAGTTCCACAGCAGGGGCCCTTTGCCTCCAGAGGTGCCATTCGGTCACTCACTTTCCTACTGGAGAAGAAAAAGGAGTGGTTTGATATAAAGGCATGGGTCAACGTTAAGCAAGTCAGTGTACTGCTTAAACAAACAAACCCCCAAAAACACAACAAGAATACAGTACTTTAATCATCCAAAACTTTTACTGGTTTACAATCTGACAGCATATAGTGCTGATACGCTAAACCCCTCAATTCATGTTTCCTCAATGGAAATTTAAATTGAACACTTGCTCGTTTGTAGCTTACAAACAGTATTACTCAAGCTGCAGAGAGAATGAGACTATTTCTTTAAAATACAACAGTAAATAGGTAATTGCTTTGGAATATAGGCTACGTTCCCATGCTTAGCTTGGAATGAACAGAATCAACATATGTGGTCATTTAACTTATGTATTAAGCCTGAAAAAATAATCAAGAAGAAAAAAATACCACCTCTTTTGGAAAAAAGACCTTGTGTTTATGGTAGCTGGTTATCAAACTAATACCACTTTTGAACTGAAAAGTAATGAAGTCATACGCAAGATCTCGCTACACTCTATAGCATTACATCAGCGCATTCACTTTGCTTGCTGAGACCATTTATGATGCCCGGCTACAGACTGAATTCCTTCATTTATTCCAAACAGGATACACATTGTAGGCACAAAAGTCATTGTTGTAACTGTTCCATGCACCATGCCAAATATCTTGCAACAATCTGGAGGGCCAAACCCCTTCTGGCTGAAAAAAAAAAGAAAACCAAACCAGTTTTCTATACCCAGCCTGTCAGATATCCGTCCTGAAAGTGCCAACAAGCAGACTTAACTGCTGTCTACAGAGCTAAACCAATTATTAAGGCCCACTACTATCATCCGTGTCAGGACACCTGAGAGTTGCAGCTTAAAAGCCCCTACCTTTGATTGGAATATAAATCATTAAGCAGCTAAACTTGATTTAATAAAGTGAGGAAGGGATTTGGGCTATAATTTCCATAATCCAGCCTTTCATTTTTCTCCATCTTCAAGTAGGAGGTAACTGCCTAATCTTGTTAGATAATGATGAAATAAATCATCACAGAATCACAATACGTGAACAGATTCCATGAACATGCAGCCCTTCAACAAATGAAGGAAGACATAACAGCCTGGGTTTTGACACAAAATTATTATGGTGCCTTAGCAAATAAAAAGTGAAGTACAGCTTTTGGCAACTCAGCACGTCACATGCTTTGGCCATGTTTATACAGCACTGTCTGTAAAGACACTTAACTTGTGACTTTATGCACACTAGAAGAATTTCAATTTAAAAATCTAAAGAGTTCTTGAAAATTTACAAAAGCCAAAACCGAAAGAAGCCCTTTTCGTTACTAGTCAGATGACTTCTAGTTGTTTCAAAGTTAGAGTATGTGTAGTCTTTGGTTTTAACAGAATTAATTCTGACTTGCTTTTCAGAGCACGCATTTATTTGTAATTATAATAAAAGGCTGATTTTGAACGAGGAAAAAAAAAAAAATGTTCTTCCTCAAGTATAAACCAGTTATATACATCCTCACTGAAGGCACTATAGTTTAAGATTCTCTGTACAGTTGCAGTAAAATTCAAAGTCACCTCCAGAATAAAGTCTGTCTTTAAAGATCCAAAACAAGATTTGCAGCAAATTACAACATGGGCACAGTGTCAGAGAGTTGCTCTGTTAAATGTTTATAGTATATACAACCTGATGCAAAAATCTCAGTCCAATTTATTTCCTATATATAAAATGCTCACCATATTATGATCCTCTGATGAAAACAGTTGTCAGTTGAATTCTCTGTTGCTATAAATATCGCCGAGCAGTCCTTTAGAACATTTCTGCGAGTTTATGATCTCATGACAACATTAAGCAAACTAGTACAGTACAGTCTGAACAGACCTACACCAAAAAGCCTCTGGATTTTCATATTATTTCAAAGAAATCTGCTGTGATTATGTACAGAAGTTGAAGTGATTCTTGTTGCCGTATTAGTTTGCTTATAGAACTTTAAATACTTTAATAATCACTACGCCACACAGATTTGACACTGCATATTGGTTAATTTCTGCATGGTTGATGTAGTGTTTCAACGTAAGTAGACTAGAAAAATCCTTTCTTAGAAGTGTTACTTCATTGCTTTATTAAAAAATGATAAATTTATATGAATTACTAATAGCTTAATACAACAGCTTGAAAAAAAGGATTTTTCCATTTGCCAGCAACTTAGGACAGTGGTTTTACAGTTAAGGCTGCTTTTCCTGTACAGAATTACGCAGAATTTAACAAATGCATGTCCACTACTTCTAGAGAAAATGATACTTATGAATGTAGATAAGGATTTATAAACAAACAATACAAACTAAATAATGCTGATGAACGCATGAAATTAGCCTAAAAACATATCCAGTTTAGATACAGAGCAAGATACAGTTATGGGACTTTTTTCAAAAGACGTTAAATGTTTGAGTGTAATAGGAAAACTGTCATCTTGCGCACCAAAAAAAAAGTAGGAGCCGTGCAAGGCTTCTACTTTTTATTAGTCCCTCAAATCTGTCAGGAGAAGTCCTTAGCCAATTTATTTTTGTTTGGTTTAAAGGGATGTCTTTAATCACAGTATCAAGAACTAATAAAAAATAAAAAAGTAGAATTACAAATAAGATAGCTGTGAAAGATTTCAGTGCATATGAACAAGGCTGAACAGCTCTACACAATGACACCAACTGTTGTGTGAAGAATCCTTTATCACTAATGCATTGTTTTCAAGAATATACACACCCCTCCACGTAAATAAGCACCCCCAGATTTTCTTACAAACATTTCAATTGGGTCATTCTCTACCCAATGACCTTGAATGTCCCATTCTTTGACTACAGACAATTATACCATTGATTTGCAATTACATTTTTAGTAGAAAGCACAGCCAAAGTCTTGAAATGCAAAAAAGTTCTTAAAAAAACCCGAAGACTATGGTACAGAGACTGGTGCAGTTACTGTGTCTCAATCTGAAAAACGTGATGCATACCAGCAGATTATTAATATAGCTTTGCTTTAAAAGGAATGGGGTTTCCAGTCTTTTCCCTTCTAACCCAGGTAAATGTAGTCCAAGATTGCCAAAGCCCACGGTGATGAGCGTGCCTTGATGACCCTTGAACTCTCCACACAGTTTTGACAAGATCTGCTAGTTGTCTCCTTCAACCCTTCGCTTGCGAACTGTAACAAGAGAGAAGAAAACCCTGGTTTACGATTTTATCAGTGTAACTACTTCTCATATTTCTACAACATCAACAAGGTATTTTGCCGCATAAAGTTTCACACAGCACAACTTACAGTAATTAACACTTAGTATTATCCATCATTTTAAGCTTATGCTTTAGCAGTGCTTATTATTCATGAACAGCTTAAAATATTTGTGAGGAGAGGCTTGCGGGAGACATTAATCATTTTATGTTTGGTAAGCAGATTTAGCCAGTACTCTTTTTCTAGATTGCAGTTTTCTGGTGGTGGAGAATTAAGTTTACATGGCTTCAAAAGAAACAGTACAAGTTTATTCAGTATATATAATATGACTTATACACTCAGAAAAAAAAAAGTTACATTCAATAGCTTAAAACATTCAATTTATTGATAAAAAAAATTCCAATTGTCAGAAAATGCGAGAGCAACAAAAATTTGTGAATAAAATCACTATAAGCGCACATATTGTTTAGACTTAAGAGTATGCAAGATTGACTGAATGACTGGAGTTTTGCTCAATATTTGTAGTATTTTTAATTGATACTTTCTTTTTCTCCTACCAAATTGTGGCTTCCTGTTCTGTGCAGACAGAACAAATGAGGCTAAGGGTCTTAGAAATTGTATAGGGCATCTCCATTTTGTTTAAAAGAGTCGAGCAAGCACATCTGTATAATAAGAAAGTGATTCTGTTCTCAAATCCACTCATTGGAAATGATGTGGTTTTACAGATAGTTGCAATCTGAGTTGATCTTCTTTACCATCAGATCAGAATTACAGAGGGAAAGCTGTCTTGTTTCCCCTCCCTCTCCCTGTCTCCAGAAATGCTTCAGATACAGTCTAAAGAAACAATCCAAATCGGATCATACTAGAATTTTACTCTTTACAAGGCCAACATATTGCTCACTTTGAGAGTAACCCACAGACTTAGCTCCATTTGAATACAAATCATTTTCATCGCTGACAGAAGTTACACATGCCTGCTTTCATCAAATCGCAAGAACAGACGGAACAGTTTCCAACCTTAGACTTCTCCAATCATGCAGTTAAAGCCAACATGTACACAGGTTCAGACAAAGAAAAGGGAAGCAGTACAACTCAAATAAGGTACTGCTTTTGATTCGACAAGGGAGAAGGAAGATGTAGTCTATTTTTGTAGAAGAAACATACAAAGACAGAAATGAGAGACTTTGAACACCTCAGTTTTCAGTGCTCAGTACCCAGCTGGGTATTCAGAGTAACCTGGCTCTGTAGCTTCAGGGCTGGAGAGATGAAAAGGTATTTGCAGAAACTTTTACTCGCATACTCCAGACTAAGAAAGCAAAGAGAAAAAAGGCAAGATATCAATAGAAACATAGAATTCCAACAGTCAAATGCTAAAATGAGAACTAGTGAAAAGAGAAGCCTTAAAAGAAAGTAGAGACACCTGAAGCATTATGACAAAATAAAGAGAATAACTGGTTTAGAATCTATTTTGAGAAACAGTTATACCGCGTCAGAGTGCCTTTCTTCTCTCTCTGTGCTCTATTCTGTTATTCCTCCTCCATCTCTCAGAGGTATTCTCCTCCACTTTAAACTTTACTCAGAGGGGAAGCAGATCTTTAAACTAAATTCCAATTTCCTATGTCATTCCTGCAAATGTATTCCTCTACTACTACTACTACTACTACTAGACTGCCTGGCGAGATTTCATGCTGATGAGACGTGTAATCCTTACCACAAAGCATCTAAAGCCAAAAAGTTTAATTAAATGGAGTTTCAAAATGTACTTCTATTTAAATAGATCGACCACATTATCTTGTTGTAGCCAAGAGCTTCAATTACTTGACATTATTATACAATTTCCATTCACGTGCTATGTTATTAACCAATTTTCTGCTGGCCCATTTAGTTAGGATTCTAACAGATGAGCTCCAACAACACTTACTGCAGCAAATAAAGATGCCGCAGGGAAGCCACCCGTGCACAAGCAGAACCATGAGGGAAGAGGGGACCCAGTCCCAGCCTCTGCACATGACAATACGCCCAGTTTCCTCGCTCAAGCAATCCAGATGAGACTGAGTGTACTGGCATTGAAGAGGGCATTCTGCACTATTCATTTCAAAGAAACGATGAATCTTATCTGATTTAAACTAATCAAAACTATTATTTCCCCCCACCTTGGCCACCACTCACGTGGTATTTGAATGTTCTTGTTCTAGACTATGCTAAAAATCCTCAACTCATACACCTGAGCACTCTGCCACAAAATGAAAGGATAACATCAAGCAGCAAGAGAAGAGTAGGAGTAAAGCACAGAGAAGTCTGAAACTGGCCTACTTGTACTTTGCTATCCTGGTTACGTCAACGGAAAAGCAGAGAAAACAGACACCTTTAAAACCTGTGCCACACACACATTCATTTAGTAGTCACTCCCTACTGACAGGTCTTACCCAAATCATTATTTTTTGTGATAGCTGCAGCTGCCCTGGCTCGAGGTCCCTGTTGTGTGAAATGGTATCCAAATTTGAGGATCTTGGTGTTTTCTTCAAGCATCTTGGCAATTTCTACTTCTGCAACTGTGCCCAGCTGCTGCCTCTGTTAAAATAAAAGGTACACAAAGACAATAGAGCTTACGTGTATTCACCCTAAAAGAGATCAGAATTCTTTCATCATATTAGTCAGTAATGCTTAGCTTAATTTTGATTAACCTAAGAGGCAGAAGGTCATAAAATAGGTTTGTGCACTTTAAAGCACAAGCAAGCACAGAAGTGACCAGGAATCTACTTCAGCTGGATGCTTCTGAGAATTTTAAGGACAATCATGGGGTTAAGATATTTAAAGGTAAAATATTTTTGAAAGTTTATCACAAGCTGCCTTCTAAAAATATTCAGTCAGCTGGGATAGACTGATTTTAATTATGATATTACCACCACCACCACCTCACTTACCTGATTATCAATTTTGATCTCTGTCAGTGTTTCATTGTCTTTCAGTGCATCAACCAGTGCCAAAATTCCGACTCCAGTGATGAAGTTTGATTCTATGTTTAAACTTTTTAATTTTGTGTTTACTCTCAGCATATCTGCAAGAGCCTTTGAATATAAGAAAGCACCATTAAACTTTTGAATTTTGCTACAGTACATCATAGGACACAGTGATAACCATTTCCACTAACTATTTCAATAGGAGCAACAAGTTCAGAGAGGCACAGTGTAACTTTGCAAGTTTTCACTTATTGTTTGAGACTGAAGCGAGTCTTCAATGAGGCATTATCTACATCCCCCTTTTTAATAGTATTTAGTCAAAAAAAGGCCTGTCTTCCTCTTCTTACAATCTAAACAGCTACACAGAATATAAATTGTCTGAAATTAGCATATTGGACCAATTCCATTTTGTAAGCCTTCACAGCACAGAATGAATAATGCAAGCTGCTAAGAAAAGGCCAAGGAAAGGCGTTAGTCAACTGAAAGGAGAATTAGATAGGGTTAATTTGTAAACAGGAGATCTGACTGTCAAATGCTTGTGTCTACAGATTTGGTAGGAAGAGGTAAAATTCAAAGCTCTAAGCACAGTACCAGCACGTAGCTAAAAGCACTCTTATGGGAATGGCATATACCTGACCTTATTTCTCAGAAAATAAGAAAACAAGTATAGGTAACTGCTGAGGTTTACTGTCATAAAAATCATAAGCTTTCAATTTTTTTTGTATCGTCACAATGTAAAAAACACCCAAACAAAACCACACCTGGGAAAACAAGCCTTTATAGATTTTTATTACAGATGTTTCAGTTCTACTGAGAAGCAGCTTTTTAATTGACCCAAAACAAAGCTTTCAAATGTTTGTGTTCATTTAATGGAGTCCTTCAAACTAGTTTTCTTTCCAATTTGAAGCTAAAACACATGCAAAGGATTGTCCTGGCAAAACAGTTAGTGTTGTTTTCTTACCTCTTTATTTGCAAATAAATAGGGTACTGCTTTTGATTCAACATAGGAAAAACAGGACCAGATGGTAAGTACTTAAGTTTCAATTGTGTCAAACTAGATACCTTGACTAATACTATGCTTTATATGCCAATGCTTTAAGCCAATCTCTGGTAGCAGGGAGATCAGAGAAACAGGTGTTTTACAACTTTCTTCAACAAAAACTCTAGTTAGTTGAAAAAGATTATGAGCTTTTTCAGTCCTCAAACGTGCTCCTTTTAAAGTTAATTCTGAACATACTAATTTGTTCATGGAATGAACATCAGGAACTAAACAATTAGGAAAGACAGAAAAACAGGAAGGAGGTTAGCAAAATGAAAAATCAGGGGGAAGGGACTGGAAAAAAAGAATTCTCACTCATACATCTGATGCATTGCTGCATATTAGTCAACTAGTAATCATTTACCAACTTTGATACAACACAGGTTTGTTGAAGAAAACATACTTTACATTGTAATGGAATTTAGTAATTTTCATCCTGAAATATTTAACCAGGATTCAATTCAATCCCTCACCACTGTCTTTCCATCCTAACTTCCCTTGCACCCCACTTAAACACATTAGCAACAGTACTTACAACAGCAACAGGATCATTGCTTCGGGTGGCTGCAAGGCTAAAATTCTTCACATGCGTGTTGGTTTCCAAGGCTTTTGCAAATTCTTTCAGCGTTGGAATTGGTATGTTCTTGAATTAAAAATAGCATTTCACTCTCTCGAGATATACAAATCTATCCCCTCCCCCCCACCCTCTTTCGTTATCTTACTCTCTTTACAGGAAAACGTACTATAATGTTAACTATCACTGGTCTCCAGCAGTCTCAAAGGCCTACACATATAGCAAAGCTATATGTGAGATGCAATGGCTATTAGAATACCAGTTCTATAAAGCAAAGTCATTTTTACTACATTGATGCCATTGCCACAGGAGAAGCATTAAAAAAATATTTAGCTGACTTGGAACTGTTACTGAGCAAAATTTATACAAACTGAACATTCTGCTAACTATCAGCATCAAATTAATCTCTCACAAATATAAAAAGATTTAGAGCTTTAAACCGGTGAAACCATCAGCATTTCATTCTCTGTGTTCTATTAAGAGTAATTCCAGAATTTGCCAATTTATAGTTTGATAATTTTTAGTGTAGTAGCAACCAAGCTTAAAAGGAATAATTTTAGATAATTAATGAGGATAGCAAGTTTATCAGTTTATTATATCAGATACTTTGTTCTGTTGCCTTTTTAGGCATTTATTTTGGCTAGCATTTCTCTACCGTACAATATTCTTAAAGCATGTATTTTATTTTGTTCCTTTAGTAAGGGCAACAAATAGCCTAGGTCACCAGTGAGGCGGCAGCTAGCAGCCTGTCACTGCTCTAAGTCAGGAGTGCTATGGTTCCATTTTCTTTAATGCAAATATACAGAAGTTTTATTCATGTTTAAAAACACAACTGTTACACACATGAGCAGAAGCTGCCTTGACTGCGGACAGCTCTTTTGTACAAGAATCAGAAGGATGTCAGATACAAATATCACTTCGCTTGCAGTAAACTGAGAGCATGTTGCTTCAACAAGGACAAAGGATTCAAAGCAGCAGTTAACTCCACAATGGTGATCTGCTGGAACTGTTGCCAACTTGGCAGCAACAGAAATCTGGGCTGGCACTAAGAAAATCTAAGACTTTTTAAATACACATTTGGCAAAAGAAAGCAAGACGGCTTATCAGTTTAGCTCCAGGTTTCTGAGATTACACACACTGCAACATTTAGCAGAAAGGCTGCTGTGCTTAAAATCAGTCTATCGTGCTCTCTTGTAGACTTTTACAGCTTAAAATGACTTCTACTGGGAAAGAGAAGCATATTTACTGCAGACTTCGGGTAATTACCTTAATGTTATTTAGATTAACTTCAACAAGACGGGAATCATTATCTTTAATCCTTTGCAGTGTCTCCTCCACATTTGTGGGATTTGGCGGTTCATCAAAAACAGGCAACATTTTTTCACCTTTTACTATATCTGAAAAGGAATTTAATTGTAATCAAACAGGTCACATACTGTGAATTAATGATACACCGTGAATAAAGGATACACACGCTAAATATTTATTGTAAGATCACTTCATCAGTCTTTACATCTCTCCCCCACCCAAAAAGCACACCATCCTCTCCTGACCATATTTTCATCAAGTTCAGTTCTTTTCCTCGCAGCCTTTCTGCTTTTCTGGCACACCAGCTTTTTTCAGAAAGCACACAGGAGTTGAATTCAAAACACAAACATGAAACCTAAAACCCAACACGCACAAATGCATGTTTATACCTACTTTTATCCCCCCAAAGTGAATTAACTGCAGAATATTTTAGTGTAGATATATTTTAATTCCACTCTTGCCAGAACTCAATTAGCACTGTTATAGACATGCACATTTCCAATTCAAGACTGAATAGCCTATAAAGTATGCTAGTGCAACAGAAAATAGTTAATGCTATAGTAACTATGTGCAGTACAAAGAACTCATTTATCTAGCACTTGCGTACACACTTACTTGAGAAGCTGTCTTTGTCAATCCCATTACTGCTTCCCACTACATCACAGAACTGATTGTTTGTTATCAAGTTGGACATTCCCAGTATAGCTGTAAAAGGAGAAAAAGCAAAAAAACCAATTGTACCGTTCCTGAGTAATTCAGCTCACCTGCAGAATTCCTTTAAATAATAACAACTGATGTTTGTAAAACAGCCAGTTATCAGTACAATAAGCCATTCTATCTCTTAATAATTTAAAGTAGAAAAAAAAATTATAGACTTTTTAGTTGGCTTTCACATCTTAGAATGATTTGACCTCACCAAGTTCAAGCATCAAAGTTAAAAGTGCAGTTCAGTCACAAAAATCTTGACAGAAGCTTTAAGAATACGGGAACATAGCAACACATGCAAGAAAAAGCAGTGGTGTACACAACAAAAACCAGCCAGCTGGAGGAACAAACTTAATGGTTTTGAGTTTGAAAATCAGGTATCTTATGCAGGCCAAAATAATCTACCTTCCTATAAATTATCACAAATCGACAAAGATGATACGCTATAACCATGCTGGCATATAACATGTTCTAGTTTCTATCACAGCTACAGCTTCCCATAGTCACATTTCAGGTAACGCACACACTACCACATTAATTACAGATCTTTCTTGTCTAAATACGCACCAATCCATTCATACTTTTAAAAAAAACTAACCTGCAAGGTCACCCAATTCTGTGTCTGTGGCACTGGTCAAGGCTTCCTCCAGTTCTGGATCCAGAGAGAATTTTTCTTCTGTGTAAGACTGGACAGGCTTTTGCCTGGGGATAAATATTTTCCCTGGCGTAAAGAAAATGAAAAGTCTGATGTTACTTTGTACTATATAGCTACTTATCTTTAAATTTTTCTGTACTTAAGGAATACATATTACATTTAGTAAATCCCGAGAAGAGCACCAAGGACAACATAAAGGAATGAGGTTTCTTCTGTTTGTTCTTGAAAGTCAGAGATGA